CGCGGGTCGACGGTACTGACCGCGCTGTCGGTTCGCGCCGCCGCGCGCCGGGAGGGAAGGTGGGCACTGCCGCCTCGCGCGGGGATTGGGCGTCCACGGCCTGACTCGCCCAGGATCTCGGGCGGAGCGGGTCAAGGACGCGAAAGCCTCAGAGAAACCAGCTGCACGTCACTCTCCGGAGCCTGTCGGGGAGCCGGACGGGGCCAGGCGGCCCCGAGATGAGGTGCAGCTGGGGACCCCAGTTCCTCGCGCTCCTACCCCTGCTAGCGCAGCTGATTCTGCCAGGTTCGTCAGGGGCCGGGCTGGGGCGCAGATCCCCCAATCCAGGGGAGCGGGTGGCGGGGTGTGTGTGGGGGGGAGGAGATATACGCTAAGGCCTCGGAATTGAGTTGAATAAGTGGGAAGCCAGGCGTGCCAGGATCCCCAAGGCAGCCCGGGCAGGGGGAGGGCCGGCTGCCTGGAGCTGGGGTCAGGCTGCCGACACCTGGGTACAGGAGAGACGATGAGTGTCTGGGGGTGTGATGTGTGGGTTGAGCCTGGCGAGCAGACCCGGGCCAGGGGAGAGGCCGCAGTGGGACAGTGGGCTGGGGAGTAAGGAACAGCTGGCAGAGCGCCTCGGACTGGGAACCTGGGCTTGACCACCTCTGTCCCGCTCAGGCGATTGCAACGAGGGCAGCAGCGCTGGAAGTTGTCGCTGTGATAAAATATTTTTTTCTGACTCCCCTCCAACGGTTCAAGCCATAGGACGTTTCCAAAAACTACTGAAAGCCTTTGACCGCTGTACTCCCTTGGTCAGGTAATCTCAGCCACCCCTGGGAAGGCAGTGCAATCCCCCCTCGCCAGGTGCTTCCAGGACCCTCTCTGGTCAAACTTGAACTCCTCCTCCGAGGCCCTAACCCTTCTCTGGGTTACTTTGCCTCAATTCTCCACACCTTCACTTTCCTGTTCACCTTCCTGGGAAATCCCCAGCTCCAGCAGAAAGGGGTGGCTGTTAGTGGCGGTGACCTCATGTCTTTGGAATGAGGAAAGAGCTGGGAAAAGGGAGGGAGGGCCCCCTGTTGAAGCTAAGACCAGGTTGTTCTTCCTAAGGTTCCGCCTACTTTACCGGACGGTATGTGGGGGCAGCAAAGACCCATGGGTGATTGACTTGATCAGCTGCTTTGAACGAAGAGGTGAGAGCTTTCCCCCTCCCCTCCAGGCTCTGTCTCCAGGGCTCAGTGCCTCCACCTTACAATTTTCTTGGCCTCAGACCTTTCCCCTCTGATACCTCACATTCCTATTCTGATGCTGGCCAAAGAAAGTATTTTCACTTAAGTCCCTGTTTACCGAACATCATGCACCACCACTTCCATGATTTTTTGCTAGTTCACACTGTGCTATTACTTAATATTTTTCTTGACATCAGGACACTATTTTTGTTTTCCATTATTTTATGGAAATGTAATCCTCACCTGAGGATATTTTTTCTATTGCTTTTCAGAGAGAGTGGGAGGGAGAGAGAGAGAGAAACATCAATGTGAGGAGAGACACATGGTTTGGTTGCCTCTCACACATGCCGATAGGGGCTGGGGATGGAGCCTGCAACCAAGGTATGTGCCCTTGGCAGGAATTGAACCCAGGACCCTTCAGTCCACGGGCCAAACCGGCCAGGGCTATTTTATGGAAATTTAAAGACATGCAGTACATGAAAGTTGAAAGAATTGTAAACATCCATACACCCACCACCTAGATTCTACGATTTTTGATTTTCATGTTTATATTTTACATATTCTATATATGTACATAAAAAACAAGTATATTTTATATTTTACAATGTTTGCAGCATTTTAACTATACTTGCTTTATTGCATATCCATCTGCCTATCCATCCTCTATCATCAATCCACTTTATTTTTTGATTCATTTCCAAGTAAGTTGCAGGCATGAGTATACTTCACCCCCAAACATTTCAGCATGCATATATTAAGTAGAATCCAATATTTTATTGTTCCTTTTTCTTTTGAGGTAGAATTTACACATAATGAAATTAACAAATCTTAAGTGTACACAAGTCACTTTAAAATAAGTTTTTATTGATTTCAGAGAGAAGAAGGGATAGGGAGAGATACAAACATCACTGATCAGCTGCCTCCTGCATGTCCCCTAGTGGGGACTGAGCCGAAACTGGGGAATGTGCCCTGACCAGGAATAGAAACTCGAAACCTCTTGGTGCCTGGGATGAAGCTCAACCAACTGGGCCACACCGGCTGGGTCACTAGCCACTTTTGTTTTTATTTTTTTAAAACATATCTTTATTGATTTCAGAGAGAGGAAAGGAGGGCGAGAGAGACAGAAGCATCAATGATGAGAGCGTCATTGATTGGCTGCCTAGCCGGCAACCCGGGCATGTGCCCTGACCAGGAATTGAACCCCGATCTCCTGGATCCTAGGTCGATGCTCAATCGCTGAGCCACGCCCGGCCAGGCACTTTTGAAAAACTTAAATAGTAACTTGCCCTCCAGCAATAATATCTGTGAAGTCACAATTTAATGCTCTGGGTGTATTTTTTCCTAAAATAAATACACAACCATTAAAATGCAAAGTGTTTTTCACATCCCACCTAAAGTTGTAGTAAGCTTACTGCCCTTTGAGCTCCATAGGCCTACATTAATTCATTTAACCCTCCCATTTCTCTGGCCTTTGGTACTACAATTATCCCTACTTTACAGCTGAAACAAATGAGTCCCTAAGAGGTTAAGAGACAGGCGCATGTCCAGCAGCTACTCTGTAACAGAGCCAGGGTCCCAACCCAGGTCTCTTGACTTCCCAGTTCAGAATGCATGCTTGTCCCAGTGGTTTCATGTTGTAGTTGGCTCAGTTCTCCTCCACCTTTCACCTCTCCCCCTGCCTTTTTCTCCTGGTCTTCAGCTGTTCCCTTGATGTTCTCCTTGACCCACTACCCTTCCCTCTACTTCTTCACCCTGTCCCCTCATAACCCTGATTTCTCACTTCTCACCTCTGCAGAATGTGGATTTGATAACTCTGGGAGAGTGGCCCACCAGGGGCATTTACCTCCCCCCAGCACCCAGGTTCCTGAGTCCACAGAAAGGGCACCTGCAGTCACAGGCATCCCTTCTCAGACGTACCTGCCACCCATCCTGCAGTCTACTCAGCAGCCTACCCTTCCAGTAGGAACATTGAACTTGGACAAAAAGCTCACCCACGCACATGAAACCACTACTTCCTCTGTGGGCCACAGTCTGGAGGCTGAGCCTGAGGCTGGGGAGAACCAGAAGCAGTTGGAAGAAAATGTGGGTCCTACATCTGTCGTGGTGCCAGTGCTGTCCCTCTTGGTCATTGTCTTCATCCTGACTGGAGTCCTCCTCTATGTGCTGTGTAAGAGGAGACGTAAGCAGTCACTGCAGTACTCTCAAGGTAAACTGGACCTCTGAACCCCTCCATTAGGGACCAGTCTCCTTGGTAGGGATCCTGACCCCAGTAGCCTGGATAGCTGGACCCACCCAGGCAGACAAATATGAAGACTATCTGCACCATGGACCATAAGTCACGAGAGAAGAGTTAGTCATACTACAGAATGGGGAGGGAGGGAAGCCACCAAGGACCCAGGGACCAATGCTTGGCCTGCAAAGCCAGGCAGTGCTTGGAGAAACATCAAGAAGATGGCAGCTAGAGCAGGCTAGTGGGAGATGAAGGGGTGGAAGGTGGGAGCCATCCATTTAATTCACAAATCTTTATTTAAAGTTCCTACTATGTACCAGGTGGTATGGTTGAACATTTTGGAGTCTGACTCGCTATCACTCCCCCACCCCAACTTCCCTTGATTTCAGAGCTCATCTCTTGATTTATCTTTTCCAGATTCGGTGCTTTAATATATACCTGTGGCACCAGACTCCCAACACTTGGGCTAAGAATGGAAGCCTGTGAGAGTCGAAACTGTGATTTATTCCACACCAGATACATCTAACGCACTAGAACAGCCTCTCTGACATATGGAGGCACTTCGCAAGTATTTGTTGTTTAACCAGCCACTGCCCCCCCCTTAGACCTTTCTTTTGCTTTCACCCCCCCCCGGTCTTTACACTGGGTAAAATTCCAGACAAATCCTAAATGTATGTTTTTTTACTAAAAATTATTTTTGTAATTATTGACTCTTCTTTCTGTATACATTGGTCTCATGCCCTTGCCCCTTTACCAGGACTCCTGGCTTCAGCTTCTCTGCTGATGGTGCCCCCCTCCCCAAAGTCTCTCTTCATACTACACCAAATTCAGCCTTCTCCTGCTTCCTCCCTGACCCCAACTTAAGGCCTGGGCTTTCCCACCTTCCCTCAGCAGTCGCCATACAGGCTGGTTTTACTTCCTAATTCCCTTGTGTGACTGACACTTGCCCCAGTGATCATCTGAGTTCATTGTTTTTAGTTATTGTTTTTATTATTAAAACCCTTAGTTCCTGTTTCATCTTTTCAAATGAAAAAGAATGTGTCTTCACTGGTCCAAGTCTGTGGAAGCCTGGACAAAGACATGAAGTATATGAGGAAGTGGGTTGGGTGTCTGACTTTCCATCTCCTGTTGGAGTTTGTCAGTACTTTTGTGAAGTGCAGAGCAGGAGCACCCTGCTGGACAAGCAGGCCTAGAATTGTGGGCAGGCTTGGTATTTAAGTTTCTTCATTCCCACCTTTTGTCTCTTTGTCCTCATGTATTCTGACCAGCAGGACACGCATGGCAGCCTGTGTTCCTCATCCTACAGGTCTCCAGGTTCTGTCCCTGGGTGCAGGTGGTGATCTCCCTCCAAGCTGTCTCTCCGTCTACCTGGCTTAGTTTTCCAGCATCTGCTCACAGGTGCGGGCCACATCACTGATCTTGAGGCGAGCATAGTCCACTCGCTTTAGTGCCATTTGACAGTCCTTCCTTGAAGAATAGCTGGAGCCCTCATGGGGCTGCCCTGTGGCCACCTAGAGGACATTTCAATAGGTAAACAAGGCAACTCCTCCCTTATCCATCTCCCCAACAAGGCATCAGGTCTCTTGTCTCATTTCTTCCCTGAGTTTGAATCCATTATGACACAGGATAGCTGGATGACCTAGGGCAAACCACTTAACTTCTGATAACCTCATCTGGAAAATGGGGGTGCAAATAACTAATTCCTAGAGTAGTACAGTTAAATAAGATCATGCAGTGTCTGGCACATTGTAAAAATTTGGTAAATAGTGGCTGCTATTGTAATGACTTCAGAACCCTCTCAATCCTGTGCCTTTTCTCAGGAAGTAGCTATCTGGGGTTTCATGCCCCTGAGGTCAGGTGAAGTTTCTAGGGGCAAAGTCCCGTGGTTTTGGGATTGTTTACAGGTCTTCTCCCATGACTTCCTCATCTAGTGGCTCATGGGATGAAACCCAGTGAATAGGCATGGCCGCCTTTAATTGTCTTTTTAGAGAGGAAGAAACCGGTCCTGGAATGGAGGGGTGCTGCCAACGTCATCCGGCCTGGTGCCGGCTTGGCCGGCCAGGTCCTGCCTGGTTCCCGAGGCCAAGGCTCTGCCTGGGCCCTCTGAAGGCTAAGGCTAAGGTTAAGGCTAAGGCAGAGAGCTGGGTGGGCACACTGCACCTCCCACCCCCCACCCACCTGGGTTAGGTAGCGGATCTGAGCCGACAGCTCCGCCTCCACGTGTTGCACCGACGCCGTGAAAGCCGCCGCTTGCCGGTCCAGCAGCCGCTCATTGGTTTTTTCCTTGGAAAGTTCCAGGATTACAGTACCTGCCGGGGCAGAGGGAGGGGAGGGCTGCTCAGAGACCGCGGGTACGGCCCCGCCCAAGGGCCAGCCCCTCAACCCCGCACGCGCAGCGCTAGCACCCAGGTTCCGTCCCCGACTCCGCTTCTGATCTCGGGCTGGCGCGTGGGCACGTGGCTCAGGCTCGCTCTCGTATCCCTAACCTGCATTCTGAAGGATGGCGCCAATTTCCCGTTCGATGTCTTCCAAAGCTCGTAGTCGCTCGTTTGCCAGGCTGTAGGTAGCCATCGTCACTCTGGAAACCCACAGGATTTTCTCCTTTTGCGAAACGCGACGCCGGAACCCGGAAGGGACGGTTGGTCTGCGCCCGCGCGCAGAGCGCTCTCTAGCCGGCACTACGACTCCCAGGATGCTCAGCGCAGCCTCGCCTTTCTCGGTTCACCCGCCGAACAGCAACGCCCAGGGAGTTCTGCGCATGCCCAGGCCTGCGCCACCGCCACTGGGCAGCCAGTACCAGACGTAGCAGCGCAACCTTCCGTACCCAGGGGCGGTTTTGAGCCGTCCGCCTTCGCGACGCTGTCTTGTGGTCTATAGTTAATTTCTTCTGTAAGAGTTTATTGACCGTCTGCTGGTGCTAGGTGATGATGGTGGGAGTTCTGGGGTATTCTTGCAGCCTACACAGCCATGGAGCCTGTCTGTGTGCCCACCCGGCTCCGCCATTTCTTGGGGCCTGAGAAAAGCTTGACTTGGTGAGTGTTACGTTATTGGCCCCAGCGCTTCCTCCTGAACAGGAGCCCAACTGAAACACCGACTATCAATAGATTCTCAGAGGCTGGCTTACTTCAGCCTTTCTCCCTTTCCCTTACTGTTTTTCTATTACGTGGTGGGCTCTGGGCTACAAAGACGAATGAGGTGGACTCTCCCGCGAGCGTGGGGTAGGCTTTTTGTTTGAGAGATGCCCGGGGTGTACCAGGTGGAGGAAGAAAAAGGAACGGGTATAGGCAGGCGCGTGGTGCTTGAAGGGGCCCAGCACATTTGAAGGACAGCAAGGGAGGGATTCAGTTTGGAGTGAATGGAGTGTGGTGGCGGTTAGATGTGACTGGAGTGAGGAGAGACAGATGAGGAAAAGGTTTGCAAGCCAAGTAATTTGGACTTCATTCTGAAGGCATTTGGGACCTTCGAAGGATTTTAGAGAAGTGTGTTATGACAGATTTACCCTTTTGGAAAGATCAATGTTGACAGCTTATGAAAGATTGAGAATGAAGCCAGTTTGCAATAGGGCTAGGGAATGAATGGAGACTTTCAGTTACCCTTGAGGGATATAGCAGTTAACGTCTCCATTTGTAGAGCCCAATAAAATAACAATAAGGGATTTTATAAAGGGGTCAAAAAGAAAGAGGAATTGATAGCAAAACTTCAGATAGAAACTGGAGAACAGAAGGATAAGTGGCAACTAATTTAGCAATGAAGTGGCAGGTAAGCCGGCAGTGAAGAAAGTTTAGAAGCAACTTGATGTATCCTTGAAGTAGTGGCGGCATGTACAGCTGGGGTGTAGGTGGTACTAAAGTTAGGAGGATTCTTTGAAGTAATTAGACCCCTCCCATCTCCTCCTTTACCCCTATATCTGGGTAGCTATTCACGCCCAACCTATCATATTACTGGAGGCTTCTTTGTTGGAGATGGAAAACAGATTCTTCAGCATGCAGGGTACCTGGGACAGTGGTATTGAAAATAGAGAAGTGAAAGTTTATATACTGAGTGGTGATTTTTTGAACACTGCCAACCAGATCAGAGCCTGGAAGTGAGAGAAAAGTGAGAGAAAAGACCTGAGTATTAACATCAGGGGTCTTCCAACAAAGCAGTTAGCCAGATCACCCCATGGTGAAACCCACAGTTGGCAAGTCCCAACTATGTCCATAGATCTTCTAGTCAACTTCTTAGCATCTCACCCTTACATACGAATAGACAGAGAATTTCTAGATACTTGAAGAAACTTTCAAACATGAAAGGCAGAGACCAAAATAAACAGGAAAAAATAATAAAATAAGACTTTAGACAATGTAAAGGAAAACTTAAGGAAAAAGAGAACTATTGATACTTTTACATAAGAGATACTATAATAAAGGATTGAATCTAAGAAAACAGACTTGAAAAGTAAAACCACAAGGGAAGGAATGAAAAATCTAGCAAAAGGGTTTAAAGAGAAATTGAGGAACTCTCCCAGCAAGTAAGGCAAAACTAAGTAGATGGCATATAGGTGGCGGGGGAAAGGAAAATTAGAGAATCAGACCAGGGGGCTTAGAGATCAGAGAGAATGAAGATTAAGAAAGGACTTGTGTTTCCAGATGAAAAGGGCCCATCAGGTGCCCAGCATCAAGGTACATCATGAACTATCAGAACACTAGATGCAAAAAGGTCTTGCAGCCCAGCTGGGCGTGGCTCAGCGGTTGAGCATCAACCTAGGATCCAGGAGATCTCAGATCGATTCCCAGTCTGGGCACATGCCTGGGTTGTGGGCTCGATCCCCAGTGGGGGACATGCAGGAAGCAGCCAATCAATGACGACTCTCTCATCATTGATGTTTCTATTTCTCTCTCCCCCTCTCCCTTCCTGTCTCTGAAATCAATATTTATATATATATAAAGGTCTTGCAAAAGCTTCCAGAGAGAAAACAGACTGCTTGCTAAGGATAGGCAATTAGAATGGCACTGGGCTTCAGTAGTAACACTCCAGACTAGAAGACAGTGGATCATGCCTTCAGCATTTTGGGGGAAAGTGATTTCAAATCTGGAATTCTGTATTCCCGCTCTGCTAGGGTGAAGGCTAAAAATGCAGTGATTCAACAAAACAGAACTTATTTTTTCCTCAAAGAACAGTGCAGTGTGCTCCACAAATCATATAGAGACCAAGGCTAGCAGTGGAGCTCTGTGATCCTTTAGGGTCTTATACTGCAAAGTGTGCTTTGCAGGCCAGCAGAACTAGCATCACCTAGAAACTTGTTAGAAATGCAGTATCTCAGGCCCCACCACAGACCTACTGAATCAGTATCTGTGCTTGAAGATCCCTGGGTGATCTGTATGCACAGTAAAATCAGAATAAGCATACTAATGTAAATAATGAATATTGATCTAACCCCAACTGATATAATTCTCTTGGGAGTGTGGGATGCAGGGGCAGGATGGAAAGTGATCCATGGAGCGGGCAGAGGGAAGAAAGGGAGCTCAGTTTTCATCTTACATGGAGGGAACCCAGTATGGTGCTTAAAAAGAAAAATTAATGAACATGTGTAGAGATATGGAGGGAAATACCAAAAGAAACATCTACAGGAGGTGGAAGTAGTTGCCCCGAGAAGGAAATTGGAGAGGGAAGGGTCTACTCTTTATTGTAATAGGCCTTGTAGTCCTATCTGAGGCCTTAAAGTATGTGCATATGTAACTTTGAAAATAAAAACAATAAATATAAAAAGCGAGAGAGGAAATAGAGATACATTTTACATGAAAGAGAAGGGTGGAGAAGTGTTGTTTCTTTGGTTTCCTTCCTTTCTCCTTCCTACCTTCCTTCACCCCTCCCTCCCTTTCTCCCTTCCTTTCTTTAGTGGAAGAGACTTGCATGAATTTATTACCATGGAGGAAGAACCAGTAGAGAGAGGCAGAGGTTGAATAGAGGGGAGTGAGAGGGGAGTGATCTGAGTACAGGTGGAGGGATTAGCTTTGAACTGGAGAAGGCATTTTAACCTTGGTTGTCTAGGAGAATTGGTATAGATGTCAGTGTTTGTTGGTAGGTAGGAAGTTGAAATTGTTCATCCCTTATAGTTTAATCTCTGTGAAAAACAGAAGTCACTATGAACATGAGGAAGGTTTGGAAAATTGGTAAGATGGGACCAGGAGAGGGAGGTGACCAAGGACATGGAATGAGACAAAGGGTTGTCAGATATTGAGGGCCCAACTGAGGTCAGATTCTGTAAGTTTGTTGTGGCCCCAAATTCGTACCCAGCACAGTATTGGCACCTAGGACATGTTTAAAAATATTTGCTTAATGAATGAGTAAGTATCGTGTGATTTTTCTCCGGCAGCGCTCAGCACTCCAGTGTTGGAGTGGAGAATGGCAGGGTAATGGTCAACAGAGCCAATGGCGAGTTTGAGAGCAAGTATTGTGAAAGGAGCAAGATTTGAGGGTACTGACGTGGCTGATACGATGATCTTGAACTTAGTGTGGAGTGGAAAGAAAAGGAGGTGTGAAATTAGGAGGAAACAGAAGGGTCAAGAGCTTTGTGACCAAAAAACAACAAAAAAAGAAGCCATATAAAACATGATTATAATAGACTACGTTAAAATAAAAAACTTGCAAATTATTAAAAATACCAGAAATAAAACACTTTGAAACTAGAAGTAATGGTTGCACCACATTGTAAATATACTAAATGCCATTGAATTGTACACTTTAAAATGGCTAACTCTATGTTATATGAATTTGACCTCAGTGAAAAGAAAAAAGAACTAGAAACAAATTCAAAAGACAACAAAGTAGGAAAAATATTTGCAAAATTTACGACAGAGGGCTAATTTCTTTACTATATAAAGAGCTCTTAGAGTAAGTACATTAAGAAGCTAACAGTGTGGATCCTGAGAAAGAAAATACCTACTAAGAAGGGCTCCTGATGGCTAACTGGGCTCAAATTAAAACAAAACCAAAAACCTCCCCAGAGCCTAGCAGCTGTTTGTACACCAGAACCCTGCATGCAAACTGCATTTCAGGGAGAATCCTGCACTGACCTGTTGCCTGCACTGAACTGCCTGCCTGTACTGTATTGGGCTGTCTGAGTCAGTCCTTATAAAGGAGTTCCTGGAATCGTATTTCAGCCAATAGAACTGAAGCTTTCCCCATCCAATTGAAGCTGTACAGCTACCCCCCTCCCCCAAACAGCTTCACCAACCAATCAGAGCAGCTCCATTCTGTCAAATAGTGTTTTTGGACAAATTGTGAGGATCTGGAGTCCTCATCTGCATGAGGACAGACCAATCAGGGATCTTGGCCATGACTTCTGTCTATGTAAGTTCTGTCTCCTCTGGCTGCCTCTGAGAGTACACTTTCCCTTTCCACTGAAGACTGTGTTTCCCTGGCTGGAGCTGAAACACTGAAGATGTCTCCTTGGAGCAGAGTGGAACAGATCAGTGAGGAGCAAAGCAAAGCTGTCTAGCCCCAGGGTCGCCTGGCCCAGGGCCACCTCATAGTCATGCCATTTTCACAGCTGTGTGTTCTATCACAATTGAGCTCTTTGCACTGAATAAAATTTCCTTTTTTACTGCATTCCAAATTGGGGATTCCTGTTGGCACTGAACTGGCACTAATGACCATCGGTTGACAACATCAACTCAGTAAATCCGTTCATCCTGGCTCCTAAACAAATGCAAATTGAAACTAGGATGATGTCACATGTCACCTGTTTGATTGGCAGCAATAAAAAAGATGCTGTCTTTAACCCACGAACTCTGCTTTTAAGAATTTGCTCTACAGATATACTTTACACGGGCAAAAGGACATATCTTCAAGGATAATTATTGTAATACTGTTTGAATTTGCAAGAAAGGACATCCTTCATGTCCATTGATAGGCAACTGGTAAAAATAAATGACATCTAGGCAATGGAAAACTATGCAGCTCTTTAAAACAATGAGGTAGAGCTATATGCATTGTTAAAGGAATGCTCTCCTAGCTACAGTATTAAAAGGAAAAAGTAAGGTGTAGAAGAATGTTCATAGTATGCTACTATCTGTATTTCAAATAAGGGGGAAATATAGCCATATGTGAAAGACTGAGTTTGCATAATATCTTTGGGAGAATAATCACAGAACTAGTGATAGTGGTTTCCTCTGGGAATGAGAAATTGCAGGCTGGAACCAGAGGCAGGAGGGAGCCTTCTTTTCACTGTTTACTGTTTAAATTAAAAAAAAAAAGTATGTTTTTACTTTCTTAAGAACAAAAAGCTAAACGAAAAAAGGCATTGTTTTTCAAAGTGTGTGCTAATTCAAAATCCAGATTTCATTTGGGGAGGTAGATTCTGGGAAACTTTGTCTTTATCTTGTATTTCAGAGGATTCTGATCCACCTGAAAAAGTTTGAGATCCATGGGCCAAGAGCTCAGAGGTCAAGGAGCAGGTTCATGGGAGTCAGAAAGATGCTGGCTGTTCTTCCATGTGACAAAGACCAGGGAGTGCAGGATAGGCTGCAACTGTGGAGGGGTAAGCAAGGTCATTGGCATTTTGGCAGCGCTTAAAGCCTGTGGGTAATGATTTAATTAGATGTCATGAGCCGTAATAGGCTTGTATGGGCTGTCCCATCTGCCTTACCAGCTTCATCTGGAGCTTCTTTGCCTGTGGCTGCCTTTGTCACATTCCCTCTGGCCTTTCAGTCCCTGAAGTAAGCTGTCCCTTTCTGCCTTCACATGTGGTGATGTTATTGCCTGGAATGCTGGAACTCCTTTTGATGTTTCAGTTCTCTGCTCAGAGGTCACTTCCTCCGGGAGAATCTTCCCTAAACCCCAACCTAGGTCAGAACTTCCTGTCATGTGTTCTTATAGCTCCTGTACTTCTCCTTTGGAGCACAGATATTGCAATTAAATAATAAGAGAACGATTTAATGTTTGGTTTGGTCACTGCTATGTCCCTATACTATGTCTGGCACATAAAAGGGACTTAAAATCAAGATTCTTCATGGAATGAATGAGCCTTAAAAAGGAAAAGGAGAGAAAATTTGGGCTATAGGAGTGGGAGTGGGTGGTGGAGGTGAGGAATGTCAGTGGAGCGTTACTAACTCCTTCTAGCTCAGCCTGGGGCTTTGGACAAGCCTCAGGGAGTCTCTGATGAACCTTAGAAGGGCAGTAGTTGGATGTAGCTACTTGGACTTGCTTACGGCAGCATGACTCTCTTTGGCAGCCTAAAGCCTTGGCTTCTGTGTTCAAATGTGAGTACCAGGCTCCAGAGACGTGTGACTTCTGTCTGGTGGGGCTGCAGCTGTGGTCCCACTGAGCCCCAAGAATGGACTGCTTGAGTAACCATAGGAGCTGTGGAAACGAATACACTAAGTCAGAACAGGTCACCATGCGGTCATGTGTGTGGGCTGCAACAAGGAAGAGTCTAAACTTTGTGGCTTTTTCCAAACTGTGCCCCTGAATTTGGACTGCCCAATTAAGTTTTTTTTTTTTAATATATCTTTATTGATTTCAGAGAGAGGAAAGGAGAGGGAGAGATAGAAACATCAATGATGAGAGAGTCATTGATCGGCTGCCTTAAGCCTGCAACCCGGGCATGTGCCCTGACCGGGAATCGAACCCCGATCGCCTGGATCCTAGGTCGATGCTCAACCGCTGAGCCACGCCCGGCCGGGCCCAATTAAGTTTCGATGTTTACCTTGGAACACAGGTACAGCCCAGTCATTCAATAAACATTAGTTGACAGCCTGTGGGCCAGGTGCCACATAGGAACAGAGGAGAGATTAGGTCCTCACCCACAAGCTAACAGACTCATGGATGAGCACAGTCCTCAAATGCTACATAGAAAACACATACACTCATGCCTATTAAAAAGTTTATTCTTTATGCTCAGAAACAAAGAAGTGGCTTTGCCCCTGCAAAGGGCCTCGGCTTGAAGGAATGGGAGGCAGATAGTGACAAGAGGAAATGTTGGGGTGAGGTTGAATGTGCAGTTCTCTCTCCCCTCTTTTCCTACTATCGCTCCTCTTTTCAGCGTCCCCCTCTGAAAAATTTAGGTATGAACACAGCTTGCCACCCATTGGGGGGTTGGGGAAGCACAGCTGAAGTCAAAAAATTAATGCCCGTTTTCAACAAGAGATGGGTCCAGTGCGTATCTGGTGGGGATGAGAGAGGGAGGGGGAAGGGGTTGGCTGAGGAAGCTGCTGGATGGAGGGAAAGGGAAAAGAGGCTAGGACCCACCCCAGGACAGTGGGGGTCTGGGGGTGGCCCCTACCTCCCAGCATCATCCACTCCCTTCTCCAGCCCGCTTCCTAGCAGAACTGGTCGTCATAGTCCTCGTCCTTCATCCCCTTCAGCCGAAGCCGGGCAAAGTCCTCAAATACGATGTCGTCATCTGTGGCATAGCTTGGTGGTGGAAAGGAGGGGTGAGGTGAGGGCTTCAGACCCTCTTCTCAACCTCCCACTCCCCTCCAGAGACCGAGGAGTTAGAGCGGCAATGGGACTGCAGATATTTGCAGGAAGGGACAAAGAAGGGGCAGCTGATTTGATGACTCAACCATCCCTCCCCAAAAAGAGAAAAAAAATGGGGGTAGAGGGTAGATTTGAACGTTACAGGAATCTTTGTCTAAGAGCCAAAGGCTGGAAGGGAGGGGATGAGGCTCTTACTTGGTGTCAAATTCAATGAGGTTGGTGTCCACAGGGGCATCTGTTTCAGGAGCAGCTGAGGGAGGAGGAAAGTGGATAGGTGGGTAGGTGCTGGAAAGACCAGCTTTTCTCCACTGGCCTGGCTTCAGGCCCTCCCTTTGGGGGCTTGGTGTGGGTGGCATGCTTACCTGACTGGGGTCTGGGGAGGCTAATGTGGTCATGGGGCTTGGGGTGCATAAGAACAAAAGGCAGCTCCACTGACACATCCCTGGAGAGGGAGAGGGGCAGCATAAAGAGATGATGACAAGGCAGAGCTAGAGGAAACCACTTCAAGCCCCACCCCAGGCTGCCCCAACACACTCACCCACCGCGAGACACCACCAGCTTCACCTTGACCCTGTATGACACCAGGATCCCCAGCACCTCCTTGTTGGCACCCTCTTTCACTCTGCAATTGGGGGGAGGAGCTGGATCATGGCCCATCGTCCTGCACCTTAGCCCACCCTTAGGGCTCCCATCGGGACCCTGAGCAGGATCACAAACTCACACCAGTCCCCAGGGCTCCAGCAGCACAGGCTATGCGGTCATAGCAAAGTACCCCCTGCCAATCCTCTGCACAGAACCTGCCCGTGGCTTCTCATCTCTCTCACAATAAAAGCTGAAGTCCTTGTACTGTCTTGCTCTCCATTAGCCCTCCAACCCCACCTGCTCCTCTCATCCTTGTAATTCATTCTCACCACGCTGGCCTCCAGGCCTGCTCTGGGTGGTCATGCAGCATGTACCCTGCACAAAGGCCCCAGTGGGGGTGAAGTTCAGCCCTTATGCTGGGAAGCCCTTACTCCAGGGCTGCTCCTGCCCAAAGGCACAGTGGCACCATAGAGGCCTGCAGTGGCCCTGCTGGCCCCCTCAAACTTCCTCAGACACATCGGCCTGGTTCACTTCTGGGTCTGTTTATAGATGTCTCTGCCTGGAACACTCTCCCTGCATGACCATATCGCCTACTTCCTTTGGGTCCTCACTCAGAATTCGCCTCTGGGTTATGTCTTCCCCAGCCACCCTATTCAAAGTTAACACACCCTGCCCCTCTCTCCACACTCTCCCTTCTCTGCCCTCCCTTTTCTCCTAAACATTGGTCACTGAACATGCTGTATATCTGATTTGTCTATCCTCCCTCCCCTAGAATGTAAGAGGCTTTTTGTCTTTTCTGTCACTGATAGAGCCCTGGCACCTAGGACAGAACCTGGCACACAGCTGGCACTGAATGAATGTCTCCTGGGCTGTAAGAGAACTCCCTGCCCCACGTTCAGCCCCAGCCTCACATGGTGCTGGAAGCCAGATTGGTGTCCTCATGCTTGAGCTTCCCATCCAGGGCAAGACCACGCTTCTCCCGGTTGTTGCTGAGCAGTGGGGTTACGGTGTACACCTTGCAGAACGTGGAACTGGGAGATATCTGGTCACTGAAGGGGGTGGGGACAAGAGAACAAAACTATGGAGGGGCCAGGGTGGGTGAGGGGCAGCTCCTCCCACCATCACTAGCCTTTTCTCTCTTTGGGCACAGGTCACAAGGGAGTTGTTTTTGGCTCAAGCTCCTCAAGAAAATGAATGGCTCAGAGCCTCCTCACTGGAGGGAATGCCCTTGAAAGTGGAGATGGTTTGGGAAGAATTCTACCCCCACCTCACATTCTCCCAGGCCTACTCTTCTCCCTTGAGTTTGGGACACAGGGCTGTTCTGATACTCACTCTTGTTCGATCTGAGCCACGGGACACTTGTACTGGGCAGTGCTGAAGAGGCAGATGTCGGCATACTGTCTCACTGTGGGGCGGGGTGGGGTCAAGCAGCTCTGCTTGGAGGGAAGACTACCGCCCACTCCAGACCACATGGCCAGGCCCAGCTGGGGCCCACACCACTCTCACCCCCTGGCCCTCCCTGTAGCAGTAAACACCTGGTCCCCATCTCATTCTGGGACAGCCTAAATTATCTGAGCCCCGGTGGATCTCCTGCACTGGGGTATGTCCTTGGGCTAAGATCATGTCAGAAGCCACATGTGCAGCAACTCCCTCTCCCACGACCCATTCCAACCCCCACCTCCTACCAGAGACTTTGATCTTCTTGATAGTCTTGGTGGAGTTGTTGGTGACGTGGACATTGACATTGAGGGGCTCCCCGTGGTAGTACAGCTTTGGAGGGGAGGAAGGTCAAGTTAATTGGTTCTGTTTTCACAGGTCCCATGATCCATGTGCCCTGACACAAACACAATGCTTGGCCTCTTCCCTCTAAACCCAAGCCCACAGCAACTCTCCACAGCTAGCTAAGGCAACCTCCTTTAAAAACACGATCTTGACAGGTGGCTTCACCCCCTCTCCCCTAGGGTCTGGCCTGCACTATAGCACCTGCATCACCCTCTCACACCCCACCTCCTTGTCCAGGGAAGCTTCAAGGTGCAGGGACCGGTCAGACATGAGGAAGTGGCGTGTGGTTTCAGCTGAAGGCTGGGGGCCGGGTTTCTCTGGGGCAAACTGCACCTTTCGGATCACCAGCCGCACAGAGTTCCTGGGGGTGAGGGGTCATTCCTTAGACACCCAAACACACACTCCCACCTCCCATAGGGGCTGGAGCTTCTGGGAGCTGAGATGGAATGGGCAAACCACAGGGGAGGTGGCTTCCCTCACCTTTTGTGGCTTTTCTCTTCCAGTGATTTGGCACAGAAGGCTCGAATTTCAAAGTCTACGCCACAGGCCTTGGGAGGGGGAAAAAAGGTCAGGTCTTACACAAGGCCCCTGCTGCCGCCTCAGCTGCCACCGCCACCACCACTCCCTTCCTTTTCCCCTCAGTCTTGGGCAGGGACTCTTGCCCCATCCTGTTCTGAGGAACATAGGGCCTGGCCCTCCACTATCTGCTCAAGGCCTGGCACCTGGCAGAGGCTTCATCCTGGCTATGCAAGGTGAGCCCTTCTACCCAGGTACATGCAGGTCAAGAGCAAGAAGCAGGGTCACATGTGAGCAGTGACCATCCCATACACACCCCATATCCACTGGGATCATTACTCCACCCTTCATTCCATCCTGGCTTCTTGACAGCCCAACCCCATCTCATGTGCCTGCTGGACCCTACTCTGCCCCATGAGCCCTCAGAACTCTTTCTCCAGTACCTTTCCTGTGTCCTCTGGGCCTGGCTGCAGAGTGACAGAGCAGGGCAGATTCTGGGGTATCTGCAGCAGAGGAAAGGGGATGCTTTAGCTCCTCTGGAAGCTCCCAAGTCTTCCTCCCAATCTCAATTTAAGAGGCTGGAGAAGAAGTCCTGGGAACGGGGAAGGAGAAAGGAAGAGGCCCCAGGAAGGAGGCAGAGAGGCAAGGGCTTCTTGAATGCAGGGTGGCCCTGAAAGGAGGTGGGTCTAGGGTCCCTCCTGTTTTTTCCAGATGTGCCCATAACTGGTGCTTCACACCCCAAACAGTCCCAGACCCCTTGCTCGGCAGAGGGAGGGAGGCATCCTCACTGTGAAAAAAAAGGGGTGGGCATGTTGGCCCAGCTTCCTCAGCAGCCGGTCCTGCAGGCGAGTGAGGGGCCGGGGTGGGTTGGGCATTGGAGGGAAGGCCTGGTAGGTGGCGATGAACAGGTCTTTGCGGAAGGACAAGCCCAGCACATCCAGGTCTTCACGGCCATAGCGGAAGGCGCAGGTGAGGGTCACAAACACTGGCAAGGGAGGGAAAGGTGGGGTGGTCAGGAGCTCCGCTTTCCAGTCCCCCTAAGTACCTAGCAGCCGCTGGTTCTCAGCTGCATAAGACTTGCCTGAATCCTACACCTGGCTTCTGCCTCAGCCCATCTCTCTGGGTCCCCCCTCAATGCCAGCCCATTTCCTTTCCCATCTCCCTACCTCCCCTTGAACCACTGGAGTTGGGGGCAAGTACCTTTGCGGTCCTTCAAGTAGTCAGGGTCCACAAGCACCACACCATCTAGGAAACGGACACGTGAGCTGATTTCCTGTCAGGACCTCTCCTCTGTTCCTGGGCCCAGGAACTTCTCTTGGGGAACAAGATCCCCCTTTCTGGGCACACTTACCTACAGGATCCACTTTGTCCAGGTGATCTACAAAGTCACGCTTGCCCAAGTACACAGTGAGCTGAGGATGGAGAGGGGGCACAGGGAAGATTGGGTAGGAGGGCGGTAGGGCATCAGAACATCACATGGGATGTCCTGCCTCTGGTCTTCCCAGGCTGGGGTATCCAGGAATTTCTCCTGGTTTCCTCCCAGTAGGGCTAGAAGGGGAAGGTGGTGGGGCTTCACAGATCACCCAACTTTGAGGCTTTTTAGCTCCTCCCTAATATCTTTTCACACCTCTGCACACCAATTGTATGTGTGTCCCTGGGTCATAGCCAGTTAGAGAGGCGTTGTGGGGTAAATGGGCCATGGCCTGGGAGCTGTTAACTGTTCCCAGCCGCAGGTACCCTGGGTTGGTTCCTGAGGGCTATAGGCCTGGGTTTCTGGCTCCTCCTCCTTGGTCTTGCTTAGGGACCCAGGCCTGTCTCCACCCAGCCCTGTGGCTGGCTCAGGCGGAGCAGCCTTTGTGGCAAGGGGCTTCTGGAGGGAAGGAAGTTGGCTTTTAGCTGTCACAGGAAGTGGGCAGCTAGGGGTTGGGGATCCTCTAAGGGCAGGCTGGGCCTTGTAAGGGCCCAGGGAGGGTCAGGAAGAGAAGCACTGTGGGAGACTCACCTTGCAGTTAGGGCTCGACTTCTTGAAGACCCTAACAAAACAGAAAGGGAAACCCCACTGCCTCCCTCAGACTCAGCAGGGACCCCCCCCTCCCTTTATTCCTCCCCAGCCTGAGAAGCAGAGCTCACCGGGGATTACTGCCTGGCGGCTTTGGGGCTTTGTCCAGCTCTACCCCCTCCCACTTTTTCCCAGAAAGAAAGGTAACCACAGGTCCTTAATATTCCCATCTTGGCAGCACCTCAAAGCTGGTTGTCATGGCAACCCCCCACCCTCACTGGTTCCCCTCCTCCACAGCGATGGCCACTGGTTGCCACAGGAACCACCCTGGCTCTTCCCAGGGGGACCTGAATGGGCAGGTTGCAGTATTGTCTGCAAAAGACCTAACCCTCTTTCTATCTTCCTTGGTCTCCAGCTCCAAAGCTGGAGTACTTGAAAGAGTAATGACTTCGGCCTTTGCTTCTAAAATGGTTTCTACCATAGGCACTACCTCAGTGTGATCCTACTCCATTAACCCTCCAACTTTCTCCATCTCTAATCTTGGCAGCTTAAAAGCCTGTTTGTCTTTCAAGGTCCAGCTCAGATATCACCTCCTTTAAAAAGCGGATCAAGCCCACACCCTGGCCACTCTTTTGGGGTTCCTGTCACTCCTTGTTTTATTTGTGGTGTGACACCATGCTAGGGCAGTTAGCTGTGTACTGTCTACTGCACTAGATAGACTGGGAGCATCAGAGGTCTCATTCATTTAGGCATCCCCAGCACAATGCCAGCCATACGACAACAACGATGCTAACATTTACTGGGTGAATACTGTACAACAGTGTTTAAAGTGTTTCATGTTATCTCATTTAATACTCTTAATAACCCAACGACGGAGGTCCCAATATTCCTATTTTATAGGTGAGGAAACTGAGGCATGGGCTAAGTCAAGTATTCTGCCTAAGGTCACAGTGTAAATGGCAGATGAACAGGCAGTCTGGCTCTGAGTCCATGCTCTTAGTCACTAAACTATTCTACTACCCTCCCTCTGTAATTGGCATTAAGTTTGTTGAATTGAAAGGGGTTCACTTCCTAATTGCTGAAACAATCTAAGCCTGGACTCTACCCACTACTGGAATAGTAGTGAAGTATTGGCAACTCCAGTGCTCTGGCCACTTGAGGGCTTGTTCTTTGCCGCACCACCTTACAATCCACTTCCAATCCACTCTGCCTCAGCAGTGATCTCTGGGAAGGGTCCCCCAAAATCCTGCCAACTGGTCCATCCTTCCCCCTGTTTCTGCTATAACAACTTCACTTGCCCCTTCTTCCCAGAAGGCCAAAGGCAAAGGTTATGGAGGTCCCTGGGTATCCCCATCCAATAAAGGAGAGTAAACATTGATATGATGGCAGCTGGAATAAGCACCCCTCCTCTTGTCCCAAATTGGGGGCTGATAGCTATGGCATCATCCAGCTCTTCCTCCCCTTTGCTTCTGGTTTTCCTCTTTATTCCAGTGTTTCTTCCTATTAGGATCCCTGGCAGAGGGCTGGGAAATCCAGTCAGTTGGCCAACTGGAGTGTCAGTTTGTGGTAATTGCCCTGGAGCAGCTGCAGGGCACCTGCCCTCTGGATCCTAACCCAGCCAAACTCCTGCCAGACTAGGGAGAAGCAGCATGTGTATACTGAGGCTGGCCAAGGAGGCCGAGTGTGAGGGTGACCAGGGAGGGGGGGGCACAGAAGCAGATGCCCCATTACACTTCCTGCTATTCTCTTCATTTCCTGTGGCCCAGAATATGATGGGAGGAATTGTGCCAAGTCAGCAATCTCCCTTTGGTCCATCCTTCCCCCTCCCTGAATCACATAACGGAAAAAGGTGGCCTCTGTCAAGTCAGTGGCTTCCCTTTTCTCTGGGTCGTTTAACCCCAAATCCAGGACACCAATCCTTTCTCTGACATTTCTCTCCAATGCTGGTAGACTTGATACTCAGAAACCTGGGTTCTCCTACTCTTTGGGTGGGGAGTAGTGGGGCTGATATGATAATGTTTTGCAGAACAAGTGACAGTTCAGGACCTGGCCCCCATTCCTGATCCCCTCTGGAGAGAGGCATACAGCCCCAACCTTTTCCTCTTTTGCTCCTGCTCCCCAGGGACTCTGGCATTCACCTACTGTCCCCTTGGGGGTGTTGGGTCACAACAGGAAGTGGATTGTGCTAGAGACCAAAAAAGAGAACTCGGGGTGCCAGTGTAAGGAAGGAGCCTCGATTGCATATAAAACATCCGGGGAGTGGATGGCGTGCTTAGGGCAGATACCTCCTCCCCTCACCCGCGGGAAGAGGGGTAAGGCCCAGACTCAGGAGAGTTGCCCCGCACTCTGCTCTCTTAAGATGAGGTTGTTGCTCCTAGCAACCCCGGGGAAGACATAAGTTTGGAAGCGGAGCTACTCGGCCCTTGGGACAGGTGGGGGCAGCCCCACTGCCTGTGGGGCACTGAATAGGAGGCTTTCTAGTGGCTAAGCACGAGTGTACGGGGGATCCCCTTTCCGGCATCTAGCCTTCCCATAACCGACCCCTCGGGACCGGCTACCTGCTCTTCCTTCCTCCGCCCCTGCATCGCAGCCTGCACGGGAGAACCCAGTCGCCCGGCCCCCACATCCCTGCATGAACCCAGACGCCGGTTTCCTGATCCCCTTCAGCACTCGCTTTCTGCAGGGACCCTGGCATGCATCCTCTCATTCTTCTCGAGGACCTAGGCGTGCGGCCCCAGATGGCTGCCCCCCAGGGACCCAGGCGTCCGGCTCCCGATTCTCTCCCCGGTGTCCTTGTCTGGAGACCATCCCGGCACCCGACCGAAACAGCCGCCCACGTCCCGCCGCGTGGCGCCACCTCCCTTACCTAGTCCCGGGTTTCTCCCCCATGGTGCGCGAGCGCCCGCCGCCCGCCGGGTTCACGGCTCGCTCGCAGCCGCCCAGTCCGCTGCCTGGTCCCTGCTCCTCCCCACGCCGCTGCGCACGCGCGCCCGAGGCTCTTTCTCCTCTTCCCCCTCCCCTCCAGGCCCCCTTTATCCCCGCCCCAC